AAGAGAGAAGAAAGAGAAAGCAACAAGGGCGAACTCACTACCACAACAAACCCACTCTTGAGATAACAAGCCCACTCCTGCAATAATGGCATTAGTCCATTCATGACCTAAACATCTCTTAAAGGTCCTACCTCTTAAATACTGCTATGATGGCAATTACATTTCAACATAAGTTTTGGAAGGAACAAACATTCGAACCATAGCATTCTGCCTCTGGTTCCCCCAAACTCATGTCCACGACTTTGTTGGGCTCTGCTCATGCAAGCAGCTCTCACAGGTTGGTGTTTCATGCCTACAATTCTCCTAGGCTGGGGCTGTACGTGGGTAGTTCTGCAGTTCTGGTATCTTGAGGGTGGCCCACACCCACAGCTCTGCTACGCATTACCCTAGCAGGGACTGTCTGCAGTGGCTCTGCCCCGTGCCAAGCTTCATCCTGGGCCCTGAGGCTCTCTACAGCATCTTTTGAAATCTAGGTGGAGGCCGCAATGTGCTTGTGCACTCCGCACATCTGCAGAGTTAGCACCACGTGGATGCTGCCAATGTGTATTACTTGCACCCTCTGGAGCATGCCCCAGCCATAAAAGGTGCCCCAGCCCATCCCCTGAAGCCATTCTGCCCCCCAATGGTCACAATGGCTTGTGATAGGAGGGACAGCCTCGAAGACCCCCAAAATGCCATTGGGGTCATTCTCCCATTGTCTTGATGAATAGCATCTGGCTTCCTTCTAGTCCTACTGAGCTCTTTAGCAAAGGGTTGCTTGGCTGCACCCTTGCACACTTTTTCTAAAACTCCTGGCCTCAAGTGATCCTCTCATCTTGACCTCCCAAAGTGCTGAGATTACATACCCAGTTGCTTTTATTCTTTTTTGTTCTTTGCATGACTTTTCCAAATCTTACATTCTACTTGCCTATTTCTTTATTTTTGAGTCAGGGTCTCACTCCATCAACCAAGCTGGAGGGCAGTGGCAATGGTCATAGCTCACCACAATCTCAACCTTCTGGGCTCAGGTGATTCTCCTGCTTCAACTTATCAAGTGTCTGGGGCTACAGGCACATACCACCAAGCCTAGCTAATTTTTTGATTTTTGTAGACAAGGTCTTGCTATGTTGCCAAGTTGGTCTCAAACCCCTGGCTCAAGTCATCCTCTCGCTTCAGCTTCCCAAAGTGCTGGGATTACAGGCATAAAACACTATGTCTGGCCTGCTTCCCTTTTGATTATAAATTCTGTCTTTAAATCATTTCTTTCTTCTATCATTTTACTATATGCAGTTAAAAGAAGCCACACAGCACCCTGAGTGCTTTCCTGCCTAAATATTTCTTCTGCCAGATAACTTGGCTTATTGTTTTTAAGTTCTGCCTTCCATAACATCGTTGGGCATGAACATAATTCTCCCAAGTTCTGTGCCACTTTATAAGGTCAGGGAGGAAATGTAATTTCTCCTCATAAGTTCATAGTTGGGACAGATCCCAATAACAAAACAGATTAACAAGAGAAAGACTAGAAATGTCATTAAAGTATTGCACCACACATCACACATTAAAAAACCTCAGTGAAAGGTAACTCAAAGCTTAGGACTCTGACTTATAAGTTTGTAGATAAATGTCAAGGAAAAGAAAAGCAGCTTTAGAGTTCCAAAGGCAGGAAACTGTAGGAAGAAAATATATGAGAGGAAGCTGATGGAGAAGAGTTTGCAGGTTCCTCTGGTTCTACCTTCACGCTGTAAGAGTCGTATCCAGGAAGCATTCTGGATTTACATTCTGTCTTTAGTCAGAAAAGCAGAGGATAGGAGAGCTTTTCCTTTGGTTTCTGCTTAATTACCTTTAGCTCAAGCGCAATTTTTATGCCAAGGAGAAATATTTTGGGGTGACATATTCTGGTTTACTTCAATAACAAGGATGGTCCTTAGTCCAGTTTCCAATACCATGTCCTTCATTTCTGCTCAAGACTTTATCAAAATGGCCTTTACCATCTATATTTTTTCTAACATTCTGGTCACAACCATTTAAGTAATCTCTAAGAAGTTCTAGACTTTCCTTCCAGTTCTTTTCTTCTTCCGAGCCCTGGCCAGAATTATCCTTAACCTTCCTCAATTCATGGCAATACAAGCTTTTTTAAATCTTGTTCCTCCAAATTATTCCGGGCTGTACCCATAATCCAGCTCCAAATCTACTTCCATATTTTCATTTTTTAAAATTAATTTTTTTAACTTTAAATATGTGGGGTACAATTCAGGGTTAGGTATTCAAATGTTTATTATGCAGGTACCCTTGTTGATGAGGGGTGCCCCCACTTCCCTGGAAGTTTCCCACTACTGCCAATCCCGCCCCGCCCTCCCCTGGCAGTTTTCCACTACTTCCAATCCCTTTCTTATAGAATTACAATAGTTCAAGGTCCGCTTATGAGTGGGAACATGTGATATTTGGTTCTTTGTTTCTGTGATAGATCACTCAGTATTATAGCCTGTAAGTCATCCAAGTTGCTGCACAGTTCATAATTTTGTCCTTCCTTATGGTTGCATAACTACTTCCACATTTTCAGTGTTTCAGCAACAGCCCCACCTCTCAGTATCAATTTTTGTCTTAGTCTGTTTTGTGCTGCTATGACAGAGTATCACAGACTGGTATTCTAGTATTTATAACAAACAAACTTACTGGCTCACAGGTCTGGAGGCTGGGAAGTCCAAAATCAAGGTGCTGCATTTTCACAAGCCTTCTTGTTGCTATAATGTGATGGAAGAAGGCAAAGAAAAGGCAAAAGAGAGTGCCCCTTAATACTGTTACAGTGGCAACTAAATTTCAACATGAATTTTGGAGGGGACAAATATCTAAACCAAAGCAGTATTCTTTTTTTTTTTTTTGAGTTGGAGTCTCATTCTGTTGCCCATGCTGGAGTGCAGTGGCACGCTCAGTCACCACAGCCTCGACCTGCTTTGCTTAGGCAATCCTTCTGCCTCAGCCTTCCAAATAGCTGGAACTGCAAGCGTGCACTATCATTCCCAGCTTATTTTTTTGATTTGTTGTAGAATGAGGTCTCACCAAGTTGCCCAGGCTGGTCTTAAAGCCCCAGGCTCAAGCAATCCCCTCGACTCGGCCTCCCAATGTGCTGGGATTACAGGCTGAGCCACCATGTCCGGCCAACAGTATTCTTTAAAGCACATAAATGTTTCATCTTGATAAAGTCTAATTTATCTTTTTTGAGTTAATTTTTGTTGATGGTGTGAGGTAGGGGGTCCGACTTCATTATTTTGCATGTGAATATTCAGTGTCCCAATACCATTTGTTGAAAAAACAATTCTTTCCCCTGCTGAATTATCTTAGCACCCTTGTCTAAAATCAATTGTCCATAAATATATGAGTTAATTTTTGGACTCTCTCTCTAGTCCATTAATCTATATGTCTATCTTTATACTAGTACCACACAGTCTTGATTACGGTGAGTTTTGAAATTCTTCCAATTCATGCATATAAGATCTTTACATTAGGTCTGCTTTAATTCATCTCAGTGATCTTTTGTCGTTTTCAACATACAAGTCTTGCATTCTCAAAAAATTTATTGCTATTTTTGATGCCATTATAAATGGAATTGTAAGCCAGGCTCGGTGGCTCAGCCTGTAATCCCAGCACTTTGGGAGGCTGAGGTGAGTGGATTGCCTCAGCCCGCGGGTTCGAGACCCATCTGGGCAACTTGGCAAGACCTCATCTCTACAATAAAATCAAAAAATTAGCTGGGTGTGGTAGTGCGCGCCTGTAGTTCCAGCCACTTGGAAGGCTGAGGTGGAAGGATCGCTGGAGCCCAAAAGGTTGAAGCTGCGGTGGCCGGGAGCGTGCCACTGCACTCCAGTCTGGGCGACAGAGTGAGATTCCAACTCAAAATAAATAAATAAATAAATGAAATTATCTTCTTAAATTCTTTCCTGGGTTGTTCATTGTTAGTGTATTGGAAACAATTGATTTTTATACATTGATCTTGTATCTTGCACACTTGCTGAATTCATTTATTAGCTCTATTGGTCTTTTTTTGTAGATTCCTTAGGATTTCTATATGTAAGATCCCATCATCTGCAAATAAATATAATTTTACTTCTTCTTTTCTTATTTGGATGCCTTTTACTTATTTTTCTTGCCTAATTTCCCCGACTAAAACCTCCTGTACGATGTTGAATAGAAGTGGCAAGAGTGAACACCTTTGTTTTGTTCCTGAGCTTAGGGAGTTGTTTTTTAAAATGAGACTTGGGCATTTTTGTGGTTTGAGGGAAATAAATTAGTGGCAAAGGAGATTAAGGATATGCACAAGAAAGGATAATACGGAGAAAGTTCCAGGGGAGGCAAGCAGAAAGGAGGTCACTTATTCCAGAGATGGGCGGAAACAAACAAAAATATAATCCAGGTAAGACTGGCATTAAAAGGGAGGGCAGCTGTCCTTCACCTTTAACAGTTTGTCTCTTCCCAGGAAAGAGGAGCGGTCAACTGGAAAATGATCAAGGTAGGCTGGGGGTTTGAGGCAAGAAGCAAAGATTCAAAGTAACTGCTGTTATTTGGAAAAGATTGCCCAACAGAAGGGGACCCAGACAGGGCTTTTCTGTCTCCCTCTGCTCTGTAATGCTTCACTGACTGTCTTCTCATGCTTTTGAGGTCTATCCTACTACGACTCTTTCCTATCTGTTTCCTGGCATTATGCACTCATAGCTGGAAACTGAAATACTAAAAATATATTAATTTGACTGAAGGTGCATTTCCTTATCTTAATTTACAGTTAGGCGTTTCACATGTTCTTCTTTAAAGAAAAAATAAGAGGCAAAGACTAAGGCAATTGTCTTTTCTTGCTATGTACTCATCAGTAGAAGACAGAACCCTTCTCTCATTTCCACGTTATAGCCCTACAGAACTCAAGATGAGAAATTAAAGTGACATATCTTCCTGCACAAGCATATCTGATAAGCAACCCATCCCTACTTCTAAGGTCTAACCCGTGGTATGATAGATGCCACCGACAACAAAGATGGCTTGGACAGATTTGGAGTTTATTTGCTGCAGTTCCTTGGCGCTAGTTTACAAGGCAAAACAAACAAAAACAATTAGAATAATAATTATAATTTTTTAAAAACCCTGTCAACAACTTTCAATCATTTCTTTATATTTTGTATTTGACAAAACTTTTTTTAAACAAATACAAAATAATCTAAAAGGAGAAAAACTATACATGGATTATTTACATCTCTGATAAATAGACTAATACTGATCCAGGTGCCTCTCTGTCTAGGAAATACTTATGAAAACCAATGCAGAGGCCAGGCCAGCTGGGAAGGTTCCCGCACTGTCCTGACCAACCCGACCTTGGCTGGCACTGCTCTGGTTCTCCCGCCCAAAAGGTTCAGGTTTCCAGCCTGGACCCACTTCTGTCACCTTCACAAGTTCTGGCATAAAAGCGCCTGAAGCCACTTCAGATAGGACTGACATAAAGGGGGGTGCCAGAACGTCCCCCATTTCTCCCACCACTCCTCTTGCAAATGCTATTTCCAGAGATGCTAGCCAACCCTAAAGAGATAAGAGGAGCCGTGGCAACATGGCCCTGTGGAAACACACGGCATCTCTGCCTGCCTCCTCGAGACAGCACCCTGAACCACCCTGTCCAGGGCCACATGGAGGGGCATGCCAAGGCGGCTGGTCAGCCACCTGCTCTGCCCGGACTGGCACGCTAGTCCTAGCTGAGTGGCAGGAGCTGCCCTTGAGAGTCCCTGAGAGAACGGCAGGAGAATGCTGCATTTCATGGCTCCCTTCACACCGTAAATTAGGAGGGGCAGGGCCAACTCACAGACATGCCTTGCGGGGGAAGAGATACAAGAGGCCGACCTGGTCACCCTCTCTCACTCCACTGAACCCCGATAAGCAGATATAAAGGCCCATTTTCCCCTAAAGTGGGCCTACCACAAAGGGCCAGTTAGGGACAGTTTTGAGGCAGAAAAAGCTGAAGCCCTAAGGGGATCAGGTAAGATCTACTCCTTCCTCTAGAACGAGGATTAGAGTTTTGGGGGAAAAGGAAGAAAACCCAAATATGAAACAGTTAGGTCATCCCAGAACCTCTGTCAGGATAACCTTCCTCACAGTTTTGGTTATTAGGTATTTAGCTCAAGGAAAATGCTGACTTTCTACGTTAAAGTCCAACAAGAACTTGGATTCTGAAGGAGGAAAACAATGTAAGTGTCCAGTCAGTTCTCTCCTCTCCTGGGTGCTCCGCAGGCACTTGGGATGGAAAAGCATCTGCTGAAGCTGCTTAACTGTGTGCTGCTGGTGGCTCTGCCCCAGGCCAGGGCAAGCATAGTATGACTGCAATGTCCAAGGCCTTGCCATGCCTGCTGTGCCCTCTGCCTTGCTGTGCCCTGTGTTCTCTTCTTCACCCTTCTCTCTTGCCCAGGCAAGCACCAGGCAGCGAGCTCTCACCAGGTCCCAGAGTATAGAAGAGGCAGGCCTGGCCTTGCCCTGGGCCCAGGTTGACACCTGTAGCAGCAGCCTAGGGAGAAGTTCCCCAAACCAAACAGGGCAGAATGCACCTAAACAGCACTATGGTTCTCTTAAAAAAAAATAGATCTTTATAGTACGTGGCTTCTCTTCCTTTCCACCTTTTTTTGTAACATATAATAATATATCAATACATGTATTTATGGTGCAGGGATTGAAGGCTTCTTCACAGGAAAACAACCAAGAGGTAAAAAGTCGGCTCTGAGCTCTGCCATTAGACCCGCTGAGTGGAAAGACTTGCCAGAAGGCTGCTTTGCTGATAGGAGCTCTGCTCTGCTAAGAGAGAAAGACTCAGGAACCCATGCTGCTCAGGCGGCAGGTCCCCATTTCCCTGGTGATAACTGCCCACTCTTCTCCCACTTAAAAGAAATAGCAAAAGCTGAAGCTGGTCTCTAGGAATTCAGGGCAGGGCCTGGCAGAGAGGACGCTTTGCTGAGCAGCAACCCTGTCTGTGGAGGCACAGGACAAAGAGCCAGAGCTCCACAAGCCTTGCAGACCAATACCCTCAGTTGCACACTCAGTGTCTTTTCGTGGAGGAGACCTTCTTTTTCCGTGCTGCGAGCATCTCGTAGAAAGGGTCCCTGCTGATGGCTGCTCTGGAGCAAAGAAAAGGGAGAAAACAGAGAGATGTGAGGGACAGGATCAGAAGAGAAACAGACCTGGATGGGGTCTCTCAGGGCCCCATAAGCCCCAGAACCCCGGTCCCACCTGATTGTCAACATTAAAGTCAAGTTGGTGTTGTCAACTCTATGCCCACACATGGCTTAAGGTGACATGCTTCAAAAGAGACACAGGAAAAGGTGACAAGAATTTGGGTTTTTTGTTTCTTGCCTATTTCAACCTAATAACCAATTTACATTTAGGAACAGAATCATGATACTTTCTTATAACTGTATTCTAATTCAAAGGAAATAAAAACATAGTGCTTTAGTTTCCATGATGACCTCAAGGTTTTCTGTGTAGCATTTGAGTGCCACATAATCAAGCATGTGACTCGGCAAAAGTCTGGCATGTGGTATGTTTGACAGCCATCATGGCCTGTGCCATGGACTTCTGAAGCACCCCCCACATAAGCACCAATTCAATAACGAAGACTCTGTAACTTAGCAGTCAAGGCTGCCCAGCATGGTGCAGCCGGGGATACTGTAGATAGACAGGCTGGGTGGGTGGATCTCCAGTACAGCAGGAGGGAGCTTAAGCTTACCCCTGTGTTAGGGCAGCAGAGGCAGCAGCACAGAATAGTGCCACAGGCTGGAGGGGTGAAACTGCAATGTCAGGACTTTCTTTATGCCTGTCATTCTCAACTTTCAAGCAAGTTATGATACAAAAGTCTTACAGCTTGATTTACTTTTCCAGAGAAGCAATATTCTAAGTGAGGATGTGTTCTGGAGCTCACTCACAAGCCTCATGACCATAGGCACTATGCTTACACCAACTGAAAGATGGTGGCAGGAGCTGCTATGGCTTTTGTGCACTGACCGGGAACCTACCCACCAGAGATGATATTTCCATGACAAAATGTTTCCAAAGCTCCTCATGCAGTACTAGGAACTCAATAGTACTAGGAATATGTCCTGATGGGACCAAACCATGAAGGGGTCTGTTCACCCAAAGTGGTTTCATAAGGGAATCTGACCAGTCAAAACATCTGCTTTCATTTTTTTTTTTTTTTGAGTTGGAGTCTCACTCCATCACCCAGGCTAGAGTGCAGTGGCACACTCATGGCTACCCCAGCCTTGACCTACTGGGCTCCGGCGATCCTTCTGCCTCAGCCTTCCAAGTAGCCAGAACTACAGGTGTGCGCGCTACCACGCCCAGGTGTTTTTTTTGTTTTTTTTTTAATGTTTTGATTTACTGTAGAGACAAGGTCTCACTAAGTTGCCTGGGCTAGTCTCGAACCCGCAGGCTCAGGCAATCCAGTCGCCTTGACCTCTCAAAGTGCTGGGATTACAAGCTGAGCCACTGAGCCTGGCCTGCTTTCATTTTTAAGGGTGTTGGAGTGAATTCCCCCTTGGCTTTAAGGGTGGGTCAGCCCCCTTCAGGTGAGCTGTATGTTCCTGCATAGAAGTGCTGTTGATGCTTCCAGCATGTTCAGATGGATTGTGTTGGGAGATAGAGAAGATAGCTGGGCTGCAGTCAGACACCCATGCTCCAGTCCCAACTCCGGCACTTGCTGTGTGTTACTCCTCAACAACTCTCATATCCTGGGAACTGGAGACGCCCTTGTCTCACTGAGTTCTTGGGAGTTGAGACGAGATTCTCTTTACAAAGTGCACATCTCAATGCTGGCAGGTATAAGCTTTCAACAGCAGCCACTGTTACTGTTAGCCTTGGGGTTACTCCTCAACTCCTGGTGCGAGCATAACGGAAGTCTTGGCATAGTAGAATAGACTTTGATTCTACTGAACCACATGCTAAGACAACTCATGTGGTAGTGGCACTAGAACTTTGGTTGCTCCTAAGAAGAGCAGCTAATGAGAAAAAAAAATGTGTCCTGCACTTGACCTTCTACAAAACCTTTCTGTCAATATTGGTGAAGAAGCATCCACCAAATAAGAACCTTCCTCCTGCTTCTTATGTCTCCACTGGGAGAGTGTCTAGAAGCAAGGATACCTGTGGCTGAGCACTGCACAGTGGTATGAGTGCAGCTTCTTGAGTCACACTGCCTGGGTTTGAAAATCAGCACCACCACCATACAGTTTTAAACAATTTACTTAACCTTGCTGTGCCTCAGATCCCTCATCTGTGAAATGAGGACAGTCATCCTAACAGTGAGATCATGCCTGCAGGGTATGAGAGTGTAAATCCTGCAGCTGAGGCACAGCCAGCTCTGGGACAGGCCAGAGGAACAGAGGGCTAGACATGCACTTTCAAGGATTGAATGATTCTAAATGTGACTTTAAAGAATGCTTAGTTTTTCTGACCACAGAAGTAAAAACTACATGAAAGAAAAAATGTACAAAATCAGACAAAGCTTTTTTGAAAGAACCCCATGAGGGAAGGGGAGAAAGTTCACAAACCAGCATACCTCAAAGCATGCTGGAAGGCTGTAATGGGTGAGGCAAGGTAGTGGTCATGCTGAGAGACACAATAGATCAACAGGAGTTCATCAGAGCAGACAGTGGAATTTGGTGCAAACTAAAGCATATATCAACCCAGTAAGGAGAAAATGAAGTAATCAGTAAATGGCTTTAAGACAATCAGCTATTTGTTCGTGAGAACAAAATTACAACCCTTAATTCAAATCATATACAAAAAAGAATTTCATAATGACTGAAGAGTTAAATAAATACTTTTGAAAACATACATTAAGCCGGGCTCAGTGGCTCAGCCTGTAATCCCGCACTTCGGGAGGCTGAGGTGAGTGGATTGCCTGAGCCCGTGGGTTCAAGACCTGCCTGGGCAACTTGGCGAGACCTCATCTCTACAATAAATCAAAAAATTAGCTGGGTGTAGTAGCGTGTGCCTGTAGTTCCAGCTACTTGGAAGGCTGAGGCGGAAAGATCGCCGGAACCCAGTAGGTCGAGGCTGCGGTGGCTAGGAGCGTACCACTGCACTCCAGTCAGGGCGATAGAGTAAGACTCCAACTCAAAAAAAAAAAAAAAAGAAAACATACATTTAAAAAAAGGATACAGGATACACAGATGACATCTACTGCCTGGCCACAGGTCCCCCACAGCATGCTGTCTTCTTCCCCAGGCAACAGGGCAGACGTCATTACTGGTAAGAAACTCTGACAATACTGCAGTGGAGAGTTGGACTGGTCCCTGCCCAGGGCGACATTTCCTATAATAGCTGCCACTCTGGGGAAAGTGCTGAATTCCAAGTAGTGTGCTGGTATGCCTGCTGCACAATCTCATTTAATCCTCAAAACAGCTCTGCAAGTTAGAAATTACCTCCACTATATACAGAATGAGTAGGTCACCTGCCCTACCAGGCAATGTGCCCAGAAACACAGAGTGAGGACACAGCACAGGGTAACCTGGCGCCAAATTCACACTCTCCCCAAACGTTTCTTGTCTACTTCCATTGCACAAATTTTCAAAGATTACTTTTGTGAGAATAAATCCTCTGCTCCTTCCTCCATCATTTCCATTTTCAGTCATTTATTTAGTATTTAACCTTAGCCAAAAGGCTATATTCATTTGAATGGGAATACTAAAACAATAACAACAACAAAAGACTAGAGAATATGCAACTCCCTTAGGAGGGAGGTTGTAGCTGGAGTGAAAGAAAGCCCATGATGCAGGACACCAAGAGGACTGACAGGGCCTCAGATCATCTGTGGGCACAGACACCATATTTTCCAGGTAAAGTCACCAGGAAGCTAGGGAAAACAGCTGGGTAAATTCTGATAGAAGTACCCAGGAGGGAGATCAAGGATATGCTCTCAAGAGAAAGGATCACTGAAACAATGCAAAATCAGGGCTCAGTGGCTCAGCCTGTAATCCCACGTCTTTGGGAGGCTGAGGTGAGTGGATTGCCTGAGCCCGCCAGTTCGAGACCCGCCTGGACAACTTGGCAAGACCTCATCTCTACAATAAATCAAAAATTAGCTGGGCATAGTAGTGCGCGCCTGTAGTTCCAGCTACTTGGAAGGCTGAGGCGGAAGGATCACTGGAGCCCAGCAGGTCGAGGCTGCGGTGGCCAGGAGTGGCCACCGTACTCCAGTCTGGGTGACAGAGAGAGACTCCAACTCAAAAAAAACAACAAAAAAAACCAAAGTCAGAATGCTTAACACCAATCCACGTGGGGAGTGAATGGAAGATCAGGCTTCATACAAGTCCCAGGGAAGAATGTTAAGGAAGAGAAGCCAATTAGCTTCAGAAAACTGTTTCTTCAGATACTTGCCACATCAGGACAGCCCTATTCCTATAATAAACCTTACACTGTGTAACTTGATAAAGCAGACAGAGCTGAGAACTAGGAGTCACAGGTCTGGATTTATAGCTCCATTTTTCAGTTTCTCACTGCACAGCAGTGCGTGGTGAGGGCTGTTTTGTGACTTTGGATCACTGCCATGTGACTTCCAGCAAATCTCTTAACTTCTATAGGCCTCAGCATTCTCATCTATAAATGGGAAAATGGTGTCTCATAGGATTAACAAATTATAAAGCACGATTACTATCTCTACTGAGCTGTCACCATGAAAATGAGATCTGCTTCCTAAAACACGAAAAGATCAGTTCAGCAGATGGCATCTGTGCCTCTAAGCTTGCTCACCTGTTATCACCTTGGGTCTATAGGGGCACTTGGGGAGCCGAGATGGGAAGTGCTCTCTTAAAAGTGTGCTAATGGCTTATGATTCAAACGCCACCTGAAAAATAATATGTGAACCACAACCAAACTATTTCCTAAGGGTTTAATGCTTGGAGCACAGAAGAGGCATGGACAGCATATTTAGCAGCTGTGACCATAAATATCTGTGTAGTGAGGGTCATCGTTAGGTGCATCAGCTCTCCTGTTTTTCAGATGCCACTTACTTAATGCACTTAATCCAGTCCTCCTTCTCCTCGGGTGTTGGAGCTGAAATCCGGTATACAGTGTGGTTCCCCTCCACCACACGCCCGTCAGCCTCAGTTTTGCAGGCCTTGATTACTTGGTCTTTATTGTCAGGAATATAAAGCTCAAAGCAGTTCTGAGAATCAAAATAGAGAGGGAGTTAGTAGCACAAAGGTCTTAGGAAGCTGCTGACCAAGAAAAATGTTCATTTATTTCCCAAAAGACTATATTCTGACCATCATAAAATAAAAGCAATATATATTTTCCTGTGGAAAAGAGGAGCCTAGAAGTGGAATTCTGGAGAATGTAAACTGCATATAATAGGACTTACTAGCAAAGATATTAACCAGATATATGTTAGCTCTACTCCTATATATGTAAAATATGGAGGAAACTGCATGTTATTTAATGCTTTTTAAAGCCAAGCCAGTAATAACATGATAGTCCAAAACAAAGGAAAAATATTTATAAGGTGTCCCAAGGTTAGAAAATCCTGAGTACTTGCTGCTGCCATTTAAGGCGATTCCTATACCTCATGAGATATTTAGTAAGTGATACTAAAGAAAATGAAAAGAACAAAAAAGAGGTTATTTAGTCTCATCTTTGGCTTGAACACTAAAGATTTTTAAAATTAGGTTAAATTAAAGATATGACAGCATTTTAAAATGTTTTGTGTGTTTTAAAAAAAACTTTAAAATTCATTCTCTTCCAAAGAACTTGACCTATACTCTTGTTCCCCTCAAAATATCTTAGCAAAAATACTCACTGGTTTTTTGGAGTCTTCCACTTCCCGGATACTCAGATTCTCCAAAGGGATAATTCCACGAGGCTCCTTATCCTACGGAACAGTTGAAGAGAGGAAGACTTCACCACCCAGTTTTGGACACATACATTGTTAATTCCTCCCCAGCAACTCATTCTAACTCTTCTGCCTTCTCCCAGGACATGGTCTTCATATATCATCTCGAGGGACCACCCTTTATGTTCTAAAACAAAAATAAGACCAAGAAGTATCTGGGCAATGTCAATATAATACATATGAATCCCTACAGCCAAAAGTCCTTTGCAAGTAGAGAGCCCAGGAGATTCAACAGACACCTTGAAAGGATATCTGACAATGACCCGTGGCCCTCAAGTAGGGAATGCATAAGCTCCTTTCCCCTAGAAAGGACCTTTTCCTTTCCCTTGCTTCTTTGCCTGGCTCTTCTACTCATCTTCTAAGCCTCAGTTCTGGGGTCAGCAAGTCCATGAAGCCTTTCCTAGGTGCCCTAGTGGCCCTGCTCCGCACCCCCAACTCCTGGGCCTGTAGCTGTGGTGTAGACCATTAGTACTTGTTGTCTGTGCCCATCACCCCCACCATCAGACTGTACGATCATCAGAGATACTGCCTTCCTGACAACTCCACCTGGGTCTACAAAGGCACCTAAACTCATGTCCACAACATAACTAAGCACCCTGGTCTGCTCACTTCCTAGCTGGTCCTCTTGGGTGCATCCCATCTCACCAGCGAAGGCCGCTGCACTTGCATACACTTTCACCGCAAGTCTGACGGCAGCTTCATAGCCTCCTCCCTAATACTCTGACAATGAATGGCCAAGTCCTTTTAAGTCTTTATATTTGATCAGAGTTCCACATGTACATGTTAAAAAATCAGCCAGTAGGGCAACCCGCTTGGGTCCCCTCCCACTGAGCTTTTCTATCCTCTTAATAAATCCTGCTTTTAAAAAAATCAGCCAGTTCAACAACTTTTGTAAAAGCAAAAGGTAGCCATTTCCCTATCCTCAGTGGCAATTATTTTCAACTTCTTTAAGTCACTGTGTTTGGTATTTATCTCTGCACCTCACATACTCCTAAGACACCTTTTGAGTGTTCAATTTTAAATGTTATCTATAGAAGAATAGCTCCTTCTGTTACCCCAGCGTATCCACACTCCCCATCCTCCCAAAATAATTATCTAATAATTGGGTTAGATATTTTCACAGTGTTTTTATTAACACCACATCTCGGTCAGGCTCGGTGGCTCAGCCTGTAATCCCAGCACTTTGGGAGGCCAAGGTGAGTGAACTGCCTGAGTCTGCGGGTTCGAGACCAGCCCGGACAAACTGGCAAAACCTCATCTCTACAATAAAATTAAAAAATAGCCAGGCATGGTAGCATGTGTCTGTAGTTCCAGCTACTTGGAAGGCTGAGGCGGAAAGATCGCTGGAGCCCAGAAAGTCGACGCTGGGGTGGCCGTGAGTGTACGTGCCACCGCATTCCAGCCTGGGCAAAGGAGTGAGACTCCAACTCAAAAACAAAAACAAAAACAAAATACCACATCTCTTCAGATCTGTACTACATAGTAACTTTTACTTTTCTTTCCTGAAAAGTTTATTCCACTCCCCCCAACCAAAAATTACCTTTTATTGGGATGAGGGGAAGGAGGGAGCTGTTTCTTTTATTTCTTTTTCTATGACTTCACCACCAAAATCAATTTCAAATGGTTTACCAATTTTGCCAAAATCTCCCTGCTAATGCTAATTCATATCAGGCATTAGCATTAGCTATTAATTTTAATTTCTTGAAGAAATTCCTCCCGGAGTCTCTGAAACCTGTTCCATTCTGGACTAGTTGACTCAGTATCTGGTAAACTGCTTCATCTTTAAGTTCACCATTCTCCATTCTGGGGAGCTCTTCTTTCCTCGCTGCTACACAAGGTCTCCTATTTCCTACAGCCAAGGCACTTCCCATTTTTTCTTAACGTCCTCACTTTGGCAGGGTATACCCTCTCCATGAGCACCTTGAGAGAGGGTGTATGGGCGGTAACATTTTTGAGATCTTGCTTGGTTAAGAATGTTTCTACTCGACCCTCATGCTTCTGTCAGGCGGAGTGGTTATAACAGTCTAGGCTAGACAGGGTCCTCCTCCAGGATTGGGAAGCATGGCATTCCTGTCATCCTGTCCAAAGTTATTCTGATTGCTGATGCTTTGCATATGACTGCTGTTCTCTTTGTCATTCTTTTTTTTTTTAAATGTACGTCAATTTTTTAACAGTATTTCTTGACTCTCTTTGTTTTGAAATTATTCTTATAATTTTCACATCTTTACTCCTCCTATCTCCTGATTTTTTATTATTTCACTTTACATTGCCCAGGTTTATAACACCCACTCATGGTCTGTCCTGTAAGCCCAATTTCCAGTTATTTAGTATTAGTTCTATATTTAAGTACATTAAGGTAGTCATTCTATATTTAAGTACATTTTGGTATTGGTTCTATATTAACACATTAGCGGCTGGCAAACTTTTCATTTTCCTACTACTGAGAGCAGGCAGAAATTAAAAAAATCTGAAGTTGGTTGCCACAAACTCCTGTCATTAAGCATAAGTGAAATGGTCTTTTCTAAATTGTTACCCTTTTCACAATACAGTTGAAAGTTGCAGACACATCCAGCACTTGCCTCACACACTACTCTGACTAGATTTCTGTACTCTGAATTTTTAATCACATTATAAACCCGAAAAGACAGTCTGCCACGATGAGGTAAGTTCACATTGGCAACAAGGAACAGAATTTGGAATGATGTAAATTCATGTCAGCGGTTGTGAATGAGTTAAGTATATTTAAGTACGGGTTTCTATTTAAGTATATTTTAGTATTTGTTCTAAATTTAAGTATTAGTATTAGTTCTACATTTAAGTACCTTTTAGTATTAGTTCTATATTTAAGTGAGTGGCTCAATACTCTTATAATTCCTGGGGCTTTTCTTCTGATTCATTCTCCTTCTGGCTGGATTTACTGTCGAGCAGTTTTTGAAAGAAGGATATCAGGGTGCTACACTTCACATGTTTTCTTCTATGATAATGCTACTAGTTGTGCTTTACTTAAATGATAACAGCTGGATAAAGGATCTTGGGTTATTCTTATCATCAAAACTGTAAAGATCTTAATCCATTAATTTTTGGCACTAAAAGCTGCTGGAGATGATGTTCTTTTTCCAGCTGAATGAACAGAGACTTTGCTCCAAGTTCAATAGTATCAAGCAGCTAGGGCTAGCTCATGGGGCCAAACTTTCTATAAAAAAGTTTCCTGAAACACAGTGTGCTCTTCTAATTTGTAGACTCAAAGTTTTTTCTCCTTTGTCAGGAAAATAATTTAATAACACATCATATCTTTGATTGTGTATGAACCAATTATTCTGATATTGGGATCATCTTCTGTCTTTCACGTCTGTTAGTTTTTCTCTAGTAGTTTTAATACTTGTGTTTTCAAATACAATCTCTGTGATCAATTCAAGGCTTTCCTCTAAGACAATGATTACATTTTTAGCTAATATGTTCCATCCCTTAAAGTTTTAACTTATCTGTTAATAAACAAGTTATCGCTCTATAATTATATAGTTATAAATATATTTTTCTTCTCACTTGTTTTAAGACTACAACTTCTCTTTTCTGGCCTAGTTTGTTCTAGTAACTCTGTGAGTGACTCCCAGTTCTCCTCTCACTGAATCTCTGACCAGTTTGCATCCCTCTAACCACTCACCCTGACCTATGGTGGAGGACAGGATGCTTTGTATTCTAGCACTTTCAATAGTCTTATAGGAGAACAGTGAGAGGAAGGAGAGCTCATCTAAGGTACTCTCTGAGCTTAAATTTCTCTTTTAGATTGTGAATGTCCTAAATCAGGGTTTGCTCTTTTAGGGAATGGATATCATGCTCACAGAAGATCTTTCACAGACAGCTTTTCCAGTTGAATATACAGTTCTGGGCCTTTACCTACATCACACTAAGTGAACCCTGTTTTTTCACTTTTCCCATTTTACCAATTTCTACCTAGCAGCAGATTTTACTACTACTTGATCATAGAGGAGGGGAAAACATAACAATTCTCATTTATTTTGTTTCCTCCCAGAACTGAGGGCACCAGGGAGAAGTCTGGGTCTCATCAAATCCCAGGCTGCAGGCTAGCATCACTCTACTCTGCTCCCTGGACTGCTGCTTCTTCTCTTGCTGCCAATTGCTGAAGTTTATTGAATTAGTTTTGCCCCTTTCCTTGTCTGGCTGCTATTTTTCTCCACTTATTTGTACTAGCTTTTTGCTCTCTTTCTTAGGTAATTCTGTATGGAAGTTTCGATCTACCATCTTAAACCCTAACAACTCCCTCTCTGCATCTTAAGAAATGTATTCATTCCTATATTTCTACTGTCTGATAAAATGCTAGCACTTTGCCGAATTGAATCAAGGTGACACCACCATGGGCAGCATCATGAAGAACCACAAGACTCTAGAGTCTCATAGCATCACTACAGAACTCTCCAGTACTTAAGAGAATATCATTACATGCTGCATTTTAACCCAGAGAACAATGAAAAAATCCAGACAAGATGTTAAAAGACGTCATTAGTGTAGATATCATCAATAAAAAAGGGCAAAAGATGGGAAGAAGGATTGACAAAACAGAAAGAAATGTACTAAGTTATTCATAGTGGTACTTTGAGGGTGGGAATAGGAAGAATTCTTCTTTTTATTGTTTTGTATATTTGAAGTATTTTACTCTCATATGTACAAAGATTTTAATAACAGAAAAGCAAAGCCAGTGGCAGAATTTGTGTGGCATAGGTTTGCCCCATAACACACAGAATCCTGGCCAGAATTCCCTAAAAAATTACTTAATATCTCATAAACAGTACACCATCAGAATGAGTGACTCTAACTTACAGCCTTATGAAGCTCATTCCCTATGTGAGAAGTTACATTTGTATGATACCCACAATGATGGAGAACAACACAAAGTTAAACACGATGGTAAACCCACTTCATACCTAAGCACAGAAAAATGTTAAGGTACGTATGTACCTGTATCCTTGTTCCTAATAAGTGATATGCAAATGTGGCCAGAATTTTAATATTTTACTTAAGTACCATTTTGCTCTACATCTATTAGAAAAGATACTTCTAGGTCTTAATTTTCTCAGTGGGATCAATGGTTTTTACTCAATGAAGATAAGACTGAAGAACAAAAGCAAAGCATTCCCAACTCCATTGCCTTGATTTATTTCAAGACACATGTCTAATATTGTCGCAGTATAACTATTTTGCTCTTCAGAGGACCAAGGGGGTGAAAGAAATGAAAGAGCACCAGGTTACCAGCATGCTGAAATCAGTCTGAGCACCCACCATCAACCTGCCAGGCTTTCTGGGTACTCTGCTTAGAGGGAGCTCTGAAAATAATTATATTTATATATATAGACAAATTGTATTTATAATTTTTATTTTTCTTGGCTATATTACAAAAGGGATACACATACTACACAGATTTACACTTGTAAGTCTTTTCTGCTGAATAAAAAATCAATAAAACTCCTGTGGTTTAAGAAAACTTCTACTTCTTAAAACTCCAGATAATCTCAAATTAACTTCTCCCATTTCACTTCACTTCCTTTTCCCCCATTATACATTTTACCCCTTGAGCTATTTGTTCTGAATCAGATTCTTCAGCATTTTGGCTACCCTAGAAAAAATGAATTTCCCAAATCACAAATATTTTCTTTTTCTTTTCATCTCCCTTTCAATAGGGCCACAAACTCTTTCTTGGCAACTGATGCAAGTTCATTCTTTCTAACCCAGCTCCAAAACCCACTACTAATGCTTGTTTTCTTTTTTCCTTCCTCCTGGTCAAGCATCTTCTGTTCCACCCAGAACTAGATGCTTGCTCTGAGCCACAGTTCCTTTCAAGGCACTCTATATCCTCTTTAGGGTTCCCCATTGTAAGATTTCCCTCAGTTCTTCCACTTTACTTAATCCCCCAGATATAGGACAAATCTGACTGTCTCCTCCAACCACGTTTGATTAGCGACATTTAAAACAGAAGCCTGGCCCATCCCTAGTCCCAAGGCCAATTAGTCAGTGCTCACCGTGGTATATTCAAAGTAGTAAAGGCAGTTGTCAGTCAGAATGAACCAGCGTCTTTTCCAAGTCTTTACCCTGCCACCTGCAGAGCAAAAAGAGATGCACATTCGACAAGAGACAACCAGGCAAGCACAGGCTCCAGAACATACAAAGCTCTCTTCTCAGAGAGAGGGGAGGGAGGAAGGGGTGAGGTATCAGGAGAACATTCAGACCACAAAATTTACATCAGTAACGAGACACAGAGCCAAACAGAAGCATCTTTCACGAAGTGAAAGTCTGTGGGTACAAGCAGAGCAAGCGTCTAGGTGACACCCTGGAGATGAAATCAGGACAGCATGATGAGAACATGGGTTTGGGGAGGAAAATCCCAGGAGCAATAATGACACGCAATGCAAATTTGCCTTGGGCCAGAGAACCGTCAGCAAAAAGCTTGTGTGGTAGAAATCAGCAAAGAAAAGAGAAAGAAGGAAAGGGTCAGCATCCTGGTGCAGGCTATGCAGCTACTGACAATCAGCCCTGGCAGGTAAGGAAGTGTTTCATCAGAAGTGAAGGAAGAATCAGGAAGTCAGACACTGTAAGCCCTTCATCATCAAATCTGCCCTTTCCCTGGAACATAAAATCAAATTCCTGTGGTTTTACTCTTTACCTCACCTTCCTGATTATAGTGAGTTTCTATACTGGCTTTTAACCTTCTGGACTAGTGTCCTGAAAATAAAATCTACCAGAGTCCTGGGTGAGAATCAAAGCAGAATTCCTTTATCAAGAAAGAATCAACTAGTGAGGGGAGGTCGACTCGGGCGCCCTTCCAGTTCTGAACTTCTCACCAAAAGTAAGTAATAAAAACAGCTGGCAGAGACAGTTACAGCCAAAAAAGCACTGGCGGTGGCGACTGGGAGCTGGTGAGGTCCTCCCTCAGTCTTTTAAAAGTATTTCTCAGTAAAAAAATGTTGGGGTCATGAAGTTATGCTGAGACAGATACTCAGGAAGGAAAGACTTCACCACGGCCTATCTGAATGAAGCCACATTCTGCACTCAAATCAGAACTATGAGCCTTTTTTCCTGTACTTTCCTTCAATCAAGGGAAAATTTTCTGAACGTGAACCATGCAAAAATTACCCCTAAGGCCTTTATGCATGAATCTATACATGGCATTCTAGAAACACTTTTTATGCTCTGCTCTTCTGAGCATATGCTCTTTTGCTAAGACTTAAGCTACAGACATCACTGGAGAAGCATCACTTCTCCAATCTTCATAAAAAGCAAGGACCATGGAGCACAAATCTCTTACAACCTAGTCATGATTTCTATCCTGCCCTCATCACAAATAGCTGAGCAAGGAGGAGGGTGGTTTTACAGGTACTATTTCCAAATGCCAGGACCTGCCCGCAAGCTCACACCGGAGAAACCCAAGGGGAGTATGCCAGTAATGTCATGGAAAAAATGTCCAGCATAGGTCCTAGCAGACAAGTATGAGGACTGTTGAACTTTCAGACCTGTTTAACAGCTCTGCTAGGTGCCTGAACTCTAGGAGGGCTTAAGTGAGTGATCTTTATTGCCATGGTTCTAAATGACAGAGACCTAGGTTATGGGAGGGAGTTTGCCATAAGCCAACATGTGCCACCCACCCACCTATCCTGTGCTGGCATCAAGCAAACAGATTCTCTCTCTCCAGTGATTTCTAAGTTTTAAGTGAGCACTTGCCTCTGGTCCCCAAAGGTTATGTGGCATGAATTAAGAAAAAAACCATAAATGGATAATATGACATGCATGTGGAAAACAGGAAAGGCTAGGCAGAATTAAAATAAATAAAAAGGAGAAAGGAGACAAGAAATATATTCAGAATTACAGTCAACTTGTTATTAAAAAGAAACCCCTCCCCCATTTCAGAGTCCGAGAACTTTGGTCTTCCAGTCTGGCAGGCCACTGGTTGCCCACACAGGGCTTGGCACACAAGGAACATCGACCCATGCTGACCTCCCATGCATTCTGTCACAGGACACTACCCCAGGTGACACTCGGGACTTAGGAGATCATGGAAAAAGTGGGTCAGATGCTGAAAGGAACAAGATGGAAGGAAATCAAAGAGAAAAAGCAAAGCCGGAAGAAATTATCTGCCTGATTACAAAAGCTTGGTTATTTCTACCCTGGACAATGTGTTGCACTAGAGACCTCTACCATAAAGCATCACTGCGGGCCCACGGGGAACATTTCCACGTGGAAAGAAAAACAGACATGAAAACAAGCAGACAGATCAATGCGCGTCTAGGACAGTCCCTGTGGAACTCACAGACCACCTCTCCCTGGGCTCCTCACATCCTCCCTGTAACCCCCTCAGGTATCAAGGCCAGATGCTATCTTTCCCTATAGTTGAGAACAATCTAACAAGTCCCTAAAACATTTGAATAAATGTCAGTGCTTGAGGTTGTTCTTTTTTAAGTGCAGCTCTGTTCAAGGAATGCTTAGGCACAAACTTGAGGAGCTCTTGGGCTAGGAAAAACGTTTCCCCTCATATCAGCAAATGGAGAGTAGAGACACCAAAAACCTAAGTAAGAGGCCAATTGGGGGTTTTAATGATGACTCACTGAAAAAGAGGAGAGAGCAAAATAAAACATAAAAACAGAGCCGAGGCAATAATGCCCTTCCCAGATTCCCAGGAAATTAAATACAAGGACTTCAGGGAAGGATTTTTTGGTTTTGCTTTTTAAAAACTTGACTTGGCATCATTTGAGTTTAGGAAACATCATTTCCTTTGTTCACGCAAAGGCAAATGTACTAAATGTCACATAATTAAATTATTTTTCCTAATTTGCTTTTTGTTCATGATATGTCAGAAACACATAGCTTTGGTAGGTCAAGACTTTATTCTCTTCTTCCTCCTCTTCCCTACTTCAGAGATTACTTTCAACCAGGTTGATGTCAATTTGAATTCAACAAACATAGCACGTATCTGGCTAATAATTGCAAGTGAAAGGAAGTGAATACTTTCTCTGCTTTTACATACCCACTCTTAGAATGTTTTCTTGCATTACTGCATTCAGTAGTGAAATTATTCTACATCTTGGTACCATATTGTTGGATGCACTCTTTTCTCTTCCACAAAGAAAAAACATGAAACTTGCTCCAAACCCCTGATCCTGACCAGTTCCCTAGGGACTGTATGATAAGTTAGAAGCAGCATTAACACTACCACCGGCAATTAAAAAACAAAATAACCAAAAATAACAAAATAAGAAAACGCTGCAGCAATGACAGTGGCCTGGGCAGAGCGAGCGAGCAGGTTGAGGGGTTACATACCTCCTGGAGTTTGGGGCAAGGAAAAGGAGAGCCAAAATCATGGAAACATACAAATGAGGGAGAAAAGAAAATTAAAACAAAGAAATTAAACCTGATTCCTTAATCTTAAAGTGCAATGTATCAGTCACATTCATGTCTGCCTGGGGGAAGCTGAACTAAAACACTGATGGGGCAAATGGTCACCCACTGCCATCTGGTATATGAATGAGGGGCTCGTCTTATATGCCACAGACCACCTGGTCAAGGCAAGATTTGGGGCACTAACTACTGAAAACCTGGCCCCAAAGAGGCCACAAATCAGTTTTTACAAAGTCAACGTTTATTAGTGTATTCAGAATCCCGAGCAAAGAAAGCAAATTACTTCAGAGAAAATTAAATGTCTTTCTTTAGATAGCTGTCACTTTTTAAAGTGTCACTTTTAAAGTGTGTGTAAGAATGCACACGCATGTCTTCATGAATACACATGTATTTATGTGTATATACAAGAATACACATTCTTATGATTATATGCATACAAAGACATATACATACAACTACAGATGGCTGGAAGCCCAGCCTTCTGCAGCACATAAACACAAAGGAGTGATTCTAAGTGTGCTACAATGAAAACACAATATTAAGAGTTTAGAAGGGTTTGGAGAAGGTTTAGAAAAAGTAATTCATTGAGTTAAAATTGAGTCCCAAATTTAGTTAATTTTTTTCTTTTTAACAATATAGAATGCCTCATAAATTTGCAGATCATCGTGGTACAAGAACTAAGATAATCTTTGTACTCTTCTAATTTTAGTATCTGGGCTGTCAAAGCTAATACTTAGCATTAGCATTTAAACAAATTTTGCTGGAGGGGAAGTAAATCCAAACCTGGACACACAAAAAAATTTCCAGTAGGTTTCCTTTTAACTATCTGCTTGGCAATAAGAATGTGGAGCAGACGGTTGCCTGTGGGGTTAGTAATTTTAGAGCCTTAACTAAAGATTCTATTGGCTTAAAGATACATAAAATGGTGGCCAATTCAAAAGATATTTAAAGTTCTGATCAGTTAAAGTGGTGCTTTAAGGGGAATTTATGAATTAAGTCATTATAAGCACAAGGACTTGGAATATGCTTTTAAAAGGAAATATAAATCCTATTGCTATCTGAATTAGTCAGAAATAGAAGATTCCATTTTAGCCTTCCCAGATGTGTCAGCAATGGCCAAGAGAGTAGTAACTTCTAATCACTGGGGCAAGTAACTGAGCTAGTAGAAGAGGGAACACCCCCTGTTAATGTAGGAACCCAACTCAACAAAGGCCAAGGCAGAAGAAAACAGACAATACTCTTTTAGTGCCTCCCCCCACAATGGACATTATTATGTCCAGAGAGTCTAGCGCTCCCTCTATGTTCTGAAACAATTAATAAAATGATCACATAGACAAAAATGTGCATGAAAATTCTACCAATTGTTTTCCTTTTGGTTACCCTGTCGCCTTCATGGCAAGGCATGACCACTAACTTTAGCAATACAAGCTCACTTTTGGCAGAGGGACGAGGAATGTATTTTCAGCTTTTCTGAATGAAAAAAATCATTAATGTGGCTGATTCGGATTGAAAAGGAGGGGGAGAAGAAAAAAAAAACCACTGCCCAAGAATGAGTAAAAGTGCTGTGGATTGAGCTGCAGCCAAGGGCTCTAGGTTTGCCATGCACACTGCCTGTGGGGAGCCAGATGCAGAAGGAAGTGACAATGCACTGGGGGGGCGGGTGGGTGGAGGGCAGCAGTGCCAGATACAAATCTGTGTGATGGGAAGTAGAAAGATGGACAAGGCAGGCCACCTTCCCAGGGGCCAAGGGGACAGGGAAGGGAAACGAACCAGGTCTTCAGGGAACTGCCTTGAAACAAAACATGGCCAATCAATTCAAGAGGGGAAATATGGAGCACAAACACACATGGGCAATATTTATGGTGGAGTCAAGTCTGTCCCCAGCAGTCTCTGTGTTCCGTAGGGACACTGACTGTGCAAGTCACTTCCTTCCTGGAGGTGAACCTCTGTTAGAACATGACTCATACCAATGTCTCTCCAGAGTACCCCAAAGGCACCCCATCCCCTTTATCACATGGTACTGTCACAAGTGCACACACAATCTCTACTCTTAATTCTCAGCTGTTGGAGACCCAAGCAGAGATTTACTTACCGAGTTTCAATAGCCACCCTTCTCGGTCTGGATTGAAGAAAGTGTGAGTGAGGTCATTCCCGTCATCTTCTGGGATCTTAAAGGGTTCATTTTTTATGCTCTCGTATAGATTCTGGGATAAAAGATAACACTGCATGTCTCTGATTCTAGAAATATTTTTTATTCCTCCCCTTTCTCTTCATTCATTCCACAAGCATTCATTACATGCCTGCAGTAAGCCAAGCCTGCTAGGCTCTGAGACTAGAAGAACCTGACCATTTCTGCTTTCAGCCAGCTCACAGTGACAAAACAAATAAGAGTCCCAATGGATAGGTAAAAATGAAAGAAAGCAGCTTGACTTTTATTCAAGTCTTTAGTTTCAGATTTACAAACTACTGTCCCCTTCCTGATTCCATAGCTGGGCTTCACTACCAATTTCTTAATGAAATTCATATAATTAAATGAGTTTAAAGAGATACTTGATAAATCGTATGTCTTTCACCTACAAAAAAAAAGATCATGTTCCCAGTGAACTCTTGACTTAAATGAAGGCTATTCTTGTCACGCTCACCCGGAGCAGTTCCTCGGGTAGGTCTCCCCCATCATTGATGCCTCGATTCATGGCAATGAACCTCTCCACGGTGGTCTTATCTTTGACATTGGGGTTGTGCAGGCTGGTGTTCAACATGATGATGGCAAAGGAGAGGACGTAACAAGTGTCTACAGACAAGAGAAAAGCAACAAGGAGCCATTGTACACTCAGTTGATCAGAAATATCCCACCCAGAAGAACAAGAATAGATGAAATCAGGAATACAAAGCCATGTTCTCAAAATGGGATGAACCCACATGTGTGGGTACTGCTCTCAGAAAGGAGGAAGGCACGGAAAAGTACATAAAATATTTAAGACTTAAAGAGGTTTTTTTTTTCAGACTGAAAAAGCAGAACATGTATACTACAGAAAATCTGGAAAATGACACAATGTATACAAATTACCTATAATCTCACAATCTAGTATTAACTTATTTTGCTTTATTTCCTCTACATAAATGTGTCTATATGTAATATATCATAAATGTATCTCACAGGCACATATTATAACAAAATTGAATAAAACATATATATTATACATACATATGTATATACATTTTTGCTGAACTTATCATTTTCTCATAATTATTTTTATTGAAAAATCCTTCATAAAAACATAGTTTTTGCTGGTCGTAGTGGCTCAAGTCTATAATCCTAGCACGTTGGGAGGCCAAGGCGAAAGGACTACCTAAACTCAGGGGTTCAAGACCAGCCTGGGCAACTTGGTGAGACCCCATCTCTACAATAAATCAAAAAATAAGCCGGGCATGGTAGCGCACACCTGTAGTTCCAGATACTTGGAAGGCAGAGGCGGAAGGATTGCCTGAGCCCAGCAGGTCAAGGTTGCAGTGGCCGTGGGCGTGCCACTGCCGTCCAGCCTGGGCGACAGAGTGAGACTCCAACTCAAAAAAAAAAATAGTTCTTAATAGTTGTGTATTTCATAGTTCAGAGGTACCACAATTTATATTCCCAGTGCCTTACTGTCGAACTTCTGGATTATTTCCAACTTTTTACTATTATAAATACCATTAAATAAATGTGCCTGGACACAAATCTCAGCCTTTTTGTTTTAAAAATTATGTACTATCAAGAAAAAAATTGAATGTAAAACGCCCATCATAAACTACAATGGTCTTATTTACCAGTGGATTGGAACACTCCATTGTTGCACCGACAGTATCGCTGGGCAAACGCCTCCATCATCCGGTCGATCTTCTGGGCCTCTCCTGGTAGGCGGAAGCTCCACAGGAACTGTCTAAGTGGCAAAGACATGGTGGATTCCAGAACTTGGGGAGATCATTTATCTATGAATTGTTAAACCACCAACTATTTTCAATATCAAAGAGCAAAGGAAGACCTGCTGGGTTTCAACCTTCTGTTACCATAACTGAACAGACACAAACTTCCCATTCTACATAATTGTTATCTTAATCAAAACTATAGTACTTAGAAAAATTAAAAAGTAAAAATTTTCCTATTCAAAAGAATGGTTCTCCTCCTCAGAATAATACACAAAGACTGAAATATAGATAATGCTCATTTTAAACAAAACTTCATTTCCAGAAAACAAGACGGGATAGCAGGAAAAATGAAGACTGCCTTATCAAAGCATTCACAGTTGATCCATTTAAGTCAAAGACAGACTCATAGCTGGTGGGTTTAATTCTAGATTATTTTCATCCCCCTAAATGATAGCACAAAAGATGATGTTATTATTTACACCTACAGCAGTAGAAATAGAGAATGGCAGTTTCTTAAAAAGCACAAGATGACAGATTTAGTAAAACACTAAAGTTTACTTTTTTCTTTCAAAAATGAGATGTACAACTACTTATTGTAGGGCAGAAAATTAAAAATTGTTCCAAACTAAAGACTGGAAATATTCCAAGATTTAAGTATTCATCAATTTCCAAACTTCAAATGTAAGATCTGAGGAAGAATTTTACAGAATCTGCTTTCAGGATATAACATAATGTAATTCTCCTTGACAATCTAATCATTTTCAGTCATAGGCAAATACATTGCTTTCTTCAAAGTACTTCAAGATATTCAAAATAGTCCCCCAAAATATAATTTTATTAAAATGCCATCCAGGATAGATGACACATGATCAAGGGCCTGTCTCCCACTCCTTCCAAGGTGCTCACCTCGAGAATACTCACCGTAGTGCCTGGACAAGGTTGAGATCAGTGAACTCATGCAGCTCCACAAATGCATGAAGAACCTGAACATTAAACTCATCTCTATTGAAAAAGACAAAAGATGGGGGAGAAAGCAGGAGTCAAACACCGACACAGACTCTTCAGTCAGGCAGTGTCTCCCACACTGTGTCCCAGGGTCACTTGACCATCTAGACAGCCACCTAAGCACAGTCAGCTTATTTAACTTGGTTAGCTCTGTTTACTGCCTAAACAAGCAAGGTGTCCCCTTATAGACCAACCACTGTTCTCCAGAATAGTTTCCTCTCAATGCCAGTATAGTTATGGCTGCCTTATGACAAAAATTTCTCCAGAACTTGGAGCCTTTGGAAGTTTGTTTCTTTATGTAATTCCTGACCAGCCTTCTTTAGTGTATGCATATTTTGGAGGCCTCACCTCTCCCCCAGGTAGTCACCGATGGCTGTCTTGTTGAGCCCTTCACCTTTATACAAGAACTGGGCAATGTCTTCACAAGTGTTCTTAAGCAGATCATTCTCTATTAAGAACTGGATCCCCTAGAAAAAGACAACAAAAATGTCAATGCTGCTTAGTCTGGAAATAGAAAGAAAGGGAAGATAGAGGAAGAAATGATCGTGGGTGCATTTGTCACAGAGTTTCTAATAAATACTTGTCAAGGGACATAAAGGGTCAGGGAAGTCAGGGCTTACCATGTAACATTTGCTCTACAAAATGGCAACACGACTTGAAAAAAGCATCACTAGGTTCTACCTGAGCACTGTAGAAAACTCCCATTTTAAAGACAACAGGGCCCAGGCATGGTGGCTCATGTACCAGCACTTTGGGAAGCCAAGGCAGGAGGATTGTTTGAGCCCAAGAGTCCAAGACCAACCTAAGCAACATAGTGAGACCTTGTCTCTACAAAAAAATCAGAAAAATAAGCAGGGCGTGCATGGTGGCAGGTGCCTGTAGTCTCAGTTACTCAGGAGGCGGAGGTAGAAGGATTACCTGAGCCCAGGAGGTCAAGGCTGTGGTGAGCCATTATTATGCCACTGTACTCTAGCCTGGGTGACAGTGAGACCCAACTCAAACAACAACAACAACAAACTATGAGCTACTTCCACTTCCTTCTCACTTACCTTTTTAGGGTCCATATTAAATTTTTTCCTGCCCATGGCTACCTGTTTGTTCCTCTGCATGTTTTTCCTGCAAAACAACCACCATGACCATATTAGTACTTTAGGCATTTGGGAAGTTTTGAAGGACTAATATAATTCCTACATGCATCCATTAACTCACAGGGACTTTTGAAAGATTTATCCAGGAAAGCAACAGGCATAATTTGATCTAACTAAGCAAGGTCAATTGAAACCCTGACCCTGGCTCCATGTTTATTTGTGCTCTCTACCCCAGATCAATGGTTTCCTTTTCTAACAATATTTTTTAAAAACTTTATCATGGTGTAACTTACTTATTATATAATATTCCTGTTTTAATGTTTATCTGTATAATGTTTAAGCTTACTGAGTTGTGTAACCATCACCACAATCCAGTTTTAGAGCATTTTCACTACCCCAACAAAATTCCTCAACCTATTTTCATACAGTTAATCCCTACACCACTCTCAGGCAATTATTAATCAATTTTCTGTACCCATAGATTTGCCTATTCTGGACATCCTATATAAACAGAAGCATAAAATATTAGAACTTTTGCATCTGGTGCCTTTCACTTAGCATAACGTCAAGTTTCATCCATGATGTGGTGTGTGCCAGTACTACATTCCTTTTCATGGCTGGATAATTGTCCGCTGTATGGATACGCCACATCTGTTTATCCATTCACCAGATAATAGGCATTTAGGCTGTTTGCAGTTTGGGACTATTATGTATACAGCTGCTATTAGATTTGTGCACACATCTTTGTGTGGACATATGTTGTTTTTGCTTGTTTGTTTGTTTTCTCTTGGGTAGATACTCAGGGGTGAACACTTGAGTGCATTGAGAGCATATGGTGCATTTATAATTAATTTTTTAAGAAGCTGCCAAATGATCAGCAGTTTTCTTGATTGTGTATCTGATTGTGTATCTGAATGAAAAATGCAGATTCACAAACCATGCTTCTCACTGTGGTACATGAACCAGCAGCCCTGGGAGCATGTCAGATATAAAGAATCTCATTTCTTGTATGTACATACAAATCACCCGGGGCCTCGTCAGAGCAGATTCTGACTTGGTGTGTCTGAGAAGGGCCCTGTGTTTCTGCACATTTAACCTGATGCCATGTGTGGACTCTAGGTAGCAAGGTCCTGGACCAGGTGAGTCATTCAGAAGTTTGAGAGGAAGAGCTTAGAAGTCAGAAATTTTAAAACCTACCACAGTAATTCTGGTGTGCACCCATATTTGAGAACCACTGTCGTCAATGACAATAGTAATTTTATAATTCAGAGAGCAAAAAGTTGCTCAGAAATAAAATTATAAAATGGTATTGCATTGAGAAACATGTCTTCTCTGGCTAAATCCACAGAGGGGAGAAAATGTTCCTGAGTGCTTTGAGGTTTTGAAGGGAACATCAGAAAACCTTGAATAGTTATCAGAACTTTAGGACATAAGATGATCAGGGATCCCCCTGTGAACAGGTGCCTCAAGAAACAAAGCCACAGAGGGAAAAGCCAGTATAATTTTAGCTAGAATGAAGGGTTATGACCAAATATCTAGAAATTCCTATTTAATCTAAATGGTTATCTAATCATTTTTTTCTAAATCCAAGATTACTTTGATCAGTATTTCCAAACACCTCAAGGAAAAGCCTGTTTCACGAATTCCAGTGAGACTGGTATGGCAACTTCAGAGAAGGCTACAGAAGCGAGGTATGAATCCTCACTAAGAATTCTCAGCTTCAAGCCGGGCTTGGTGGTTCAGCCTGTAATCCTGCGCCTTTGGGAGGCTGAGGTGAGTGGATTGCCTAAGCCCGCGGGTTTGAGACCTGCCTGGGCAGCGAGACCTCATCTCTACAATAAATCAAAAAATCAGCTGGGCGTGGTAGCGCATGCCTGTAATTCCGGCTACTCAGAAGGCTGAGGCGGAAGGATCGCCAGAGCCCAGCAGGTCGAGGCTGTGGTGGCCAGGAGCGGCCACTGCACTCCAGTCTGGGCGACAGAGTGAGACTCCAACTCAAAAAAAAAAAAAGAATTCTCAGCTTCCTAAACCTCGGTTTGGTCTCTAACAAAAGGCTTTCCTGTTACCACCAGAAAGTACAATCCCAGACCTCTGCCAAACAACTGCCAGGGACATTCACCAGAGTTGACTCTCTAGTTTCAATAGCTGGTCTGCTCACTTCTCCATCTGGCCCTCATGGAAATCATGTAGCCTTAGGCCCTAGGTAGCCACTTCGCTAAGGGGCTACCATCCTGGTACAGTCCAGAACAAAACAGCTGTGTTACTGCTGTTGTATCACCTTGGTTAACTGATGCATATAAACTTTAGAAAGTTAACCCTTGCAGTATGTGAGTACATTATTTCTATTTGATTAAACAGTATTTAGGGTCATGTCTACAAACAAGTGGCATCAGGTCTTTGATCTAAAACAAGAACTCATTCCTGTGGGAAAATCAGAACAAATATAACACGTTTGAGAAACAAATCCATGGTAAGTCTAACAACTCTGCATATGGATTCTCAGGGATCTGTAAAATAACTCCCTGTTGGGGGCTTTTGATAATGGAAAACCATTTTAAGTTCCAGACTTTTAAAAAATAATAACAACTAATCACTATTCCGATTCATTACTTCAGCTGCAGTTCTAATAAGAGTTGCAAGTCTTCACAAATTGCTGAGTTCTCCAGGATGCCTAACCCCTCATATTCCTGGTGTCTTCTTTTCCTTGGTGTTCTATAATAACCTACAGAGACTTCATCAAGCAAAAAATAAACAGCACATTGAATTCTAAATATGTGTGTGCAGACACACAAATATACAGAAAGGAAATACAACAAAATATTAATCATGGTTATCTTTTGGATTAGATATTATGGGAAATTTGTTTTTCTTCATACTTTCCTGCATTTTACCAATTTTCTGCAATAAATGTGTATTGCCTTTATAGTCAGAAAAAAGCAAATTTTTTAACATTTTAAAAATTGAGGTAAAATATACATTTAAAATGCACACATCATAAGTGTACAGTTCAGTGTGTTTTGAAAAGTATATATACCCTTGTAACCACCACTCCAATTAATATAGAATTCTCCCATCATCCCTGTAAATTCCCTTATGTCCCCTTCAAGTCAACCCTCAGCCTATCCCCGCCACAACCACCTCAGAAGCAGCCACTGCCATAATTTCTACCATCACAGCTTAGTTTTATCTGTTACAGAACCTCATGAAAGGAAGCATATGATACATATGGCTTCATCGTGAAGACTCATCCATGCAAGTTAGTAGTTTACTGCTTAATATCGCTGAGTAATAGTCTATTTTCTTGACCCATTTAGTCATTCACCTGTTGGTAGGCATTTAGGCTATTTCCAGTTTGGGGCTATTTTAAATAAGCATGCTATCAATATTTTTGTACAAGTCTTTATATGGACATGTTTTCATTTCTCTTGGGTAAATAAATGGGAGTTGAATTGCTAGGTCACAGTATAGGTATACATTTAACGTTATAAGAAACTGCCAAACGATTTTCCCAAAAGGTATTATCATCTCATTCTCATCAGCACGAAATACCAACAGTCTATTTCATTTTAATTGCCTAGAGGTGTGAATCGGCATTCCATGGTAGTTTTAAGTTCCATTCCCTTACAACTAATGATGTTTTTCATGTATCTATTATCCATACAGCTTCTATAAATGTCTGTTCAAGTTATTTTACCCATTTTTTTAGCTGGGCTGCCTTTATATATATATATATATATATATATATATATTTTTTTTTTCCCCTGGATACAAATCCTTTTGCAGATATACATATTGGAAATATTTTCTCCTAATCAGTGCCTGCCTATTCATTTCCTTAAACAGTTACCTTTTATAAGAGAAGTGTTAAATTCTGATGAAATCCAATTTATCCATTTCGTTTAAGTTATGATTCTTTCAATGGGAAAGTAAGGAAGCTGTAATTCAAAACACCAAATGGACACCACAGAGACTGGCAATGATGAGCTGACTGCCTTCTGTGGAACACCCAGCCTCATTAAACTCTAATGGTACCGCCCATAGGAGTCTAAGATAACAAATCAAATAGTCTTATGAAGCCAGACAGGGAGAATTAGGCTTAGAAAAATACAGACATGAAGTGAGTTGGAAACAGCCCATTTATTGCATTAAGCAGTTAGAAAACGGTCTGAGAACCTCATTCAAAACTAAACTTTAAAAGTCACTAACATTCATGCAATTAAAAGTAAAAAATGCAAACAGGCCTTGTCATTTCCCACAACTTCATTTCTACATTCTTTTCCCTTAAGCGTTAGGGAGGCACAAATAAGCTTGCAATTATACCCAGACATAACTGGGTATGGTAGTCTTTTGAAATTGTATTATAGCATTCATTAAGCTTTTCCTTTACACAAAGGCAAAACAAAAACTTTAAAATACAAACACAGTGGACAACAGAGGAAACACATAAAATGTAAGAGCAGTTTAAGGCTTTCTGGGACTTCTGAAGTTCTCTAATTCAATATTTCAAACTATGTAAAAAAAACAAAAACAAACCCTATATTCAAGAATCCTTGCAGTGAAGGCTGAAAGAAAGTATGGGTATATATGTGCTTGTTAGGAACAGAAAGATAAGAAATTTACTTTTTCCTTAAGTGTGCCAGGTAAGCACAATTAAGGCCCGGGTGCTTTGAGAAGCTACACAAAAGCTACCCAGCCGTAGAGCAGACTCACCTTTCTTCTGTGGACCCCAGGTTTTCAATTTCATTAGCTACTTCTGCTATCTCATCCTTCAGCCTCTACAAAAAGAGTCCAGAGTTACCAGGAGAGGGAGATACAGATCAAATTAAAGCCTCTGAAACCTCACAAAAATCCCTCCAACCAAAAATAAAATAAAAATAAGCAAAATGAAATAAGACAAACAAAAAAAATCTTTAAAAGTATATTAGGAAAATTCATCTCTTTAACAAATATTTATTGAGCTTTTACCAGGTTGCAAACATTCCAGAAAATATAGAGGTAGAAAAAGATACAGCACCTGACTTCAAAGACTTCATAATCTAGTAAACTTTATACACATATACACCACGTAAAAATATATATAGTTAACTGAAAAATAGCTGCCTCGTTCCAGTCTTCCAGATAGAATCTGCCGCTTACTACATACAAGTGAGCTGGGAGACTCACAGGACAAACTCTTCTACTCAAAGCCCAAGCTGTAGAGCCAGCAGCAGTTGTGCAAGGCAAACAATGCCACCAAGTGGCCAGCAAAGGAATGTCTGATCACACCCTCCCCAGTTCCAACACCCCCTTAGTCAGAAAATTTGGACTCTCCCAGTGAAGGGCGGCTTTCCTAGCATCTACCAGTGAAGTAGGAATCAAAGAATCAGAAAAAACTATCAAAATTGACCCAACACCAGTGCAAGAAGTCTTTCTTCCCCACAGTTTGCCACTTTGGAGTAGCAGGATCCTCTCCTTAACTTTCTTAATTCCATCTTTGATGTTTCACAAGTAATTCTAGAAGAATGACATTTGCTGCCTCAGAACTAAAATAATCCAACTAGTTATTGGCTTCTATGACTTATTTCCCACAAAGCTTGACAGTTATGAAAAGGAACTTGGAAAAACCACAGAGTTGCTATCACTAAGTATATCTAGGGACCAGAAATTATGCTAAGTCTTTTGTAAATTTTTAACTCATTTAATCCTTACAACAACCCATGAAGCAGTGTTTTCATTCCTATCTTACAGAAGAAACTAAAGTTCAAGGAACCAAAACTCTTTTATCTCAAATCATTCAACTAGTACGTGGCAGCTAGTAAGGACCTGATGTGGGTCTAGCTTCACCTGAAGCCGGTGTTCTCATCACCTCTCCTCACCCTCTCTGCTCATCACTGTCAAATACAAAATTATACACAGGGGAACAGGAGACTACGTGAATCTTTACCAACCACTCAACCTCTTTGAGATCCATTTTCTCATCTGGAGAGCAAAGCTGATTATCTCTTGAGGAGACACTCTATAGAGGACATACTTTTACATAAATGTAACTGTCGTTACAGTTTTTACATTGATGAAATCACCACGCTGCTTGCTCTCCTACCTGAATGTCGGCCAGCAGTTCCTGCTTTCTTCGTCGAATGTTCTCCAGTTCTTGACGCTCTTCTGCAGTCAGGTCACTGGGAACTACAAAAATGGGGGAAGTGCTACTAAGGAAGTTGTTATCTCAACCAAAATAAAGTGAAATCAAGAGACCACAAAAGGAGAAAGATACTGAGATAGAGGCTAGAAGCCAGTTTCAGAAATGACTAACCACTAGAACAGCTCTGGCTCCAAGTCTTATCAGGTTTCTAAAGAAAGGAAGAACCTCAAATCACACAGAAAAGGAATACTTGCAAGGAAAACCAAGACAGAAAAGATTGCTGAAGGTTAAATTAGGTTGGCTATGAATGAAAGAAGATGAATATTAGCTGACTGCCCTGTCATTTTCATCCCTTCCAGCTGGATGACTTCAGGCTGCTGTTAAATCAATCTCTCTAGGTCTCAACTCTCTCATGCTCAAAAACCAACAGTACTGCCTCATTACGCTGAACTCCAACATAACATGACACCTTGAAGTGAGGAAGAAGAGGCAAGTGGCAAAGCACATTTTGTGCTAGTTCTGGAAGAGGTTGAAGGGAAGAAACTATGTATTTGCAGAGGAAAAAATCTAGAAGACTACACCAAACACATCAGAGCTTAATTCTGGGCACTTGGATTACCAGACTTTCTTTTTTTGCTTTATACTCTTCTTTGTTGTTTGAATGTTTTAAAATGCGCTCTTATCATGAACACCAAGTTACTTAACTCCCGGATCACAGCTTTCACCATGAAATACTTCTGCAATCCTCCAGTGATGCAATCTTCCTTGTCTGCACAGGAGCTTGGGACAGATGCCCTCTAAGAAGACCCTTCTAAGTGTGCTGTGGGAAACCATGAGGGCAAATGAAAAGAACAGCACTGGAATCAGACAAAAAGGATTCAAATACCAGCTCCAATCTACTTCATGCTAAATTAGACAATTTCAAGCAAATTTTAGGCTATTTGGGCTGTAGTTTGTCATCAATAAAGTGGCAATACCATTACCCATTTCTTAAGGCTGCTGTGAGGACAAAGTAAAACAGAGAAACTAAAGTGCCTGTTGGTTCCTGTTCCCTCTATGGCAAAGCAAAGGAAACCCATATCCCCGGCTGGGAGGGTACTACATGGATCCCTCTATCCCTTTAGTAGGTGTCTGAGTTAGAGCTGCATTGTATGGCATGGTGGCCATGAGTCCCATGTAACACTGAGCACTTCAAATGTGACTACCAGTTTTTAGGATGTGCTATATGTAGAAAATACACAGCAGACTGTCTATAAAAAGTAAAATATCTCTTTACTTTTCCCAAATATGTCATAAAAATCACTTACAACAATAAAAGAAGGCAGAAACAGTAGACTACAGTGAAGCCTACAGAAGAGGTTTAATTAGCTACATTAGAAAAGTCAATTTTCCCTTTTTTACCAAGCTCTCCCCCAACCTTCTCTAGAAAAGTGCCTTTTAAATTTCTCCAAGACCCAAAATAAGAAATGCTATTTTATATCACAACCCAATTCCCCTCATACACAAAAGCATCAAAAACAACACCTCATCCTGCGAAATGCATTGATATTTCCTGTTCTTTCACTGTGGATTTTCTTAACAGTGGCTATGGTACACTAAATTGATTTCATAAGCTACCTGTAGTTTGGAAAACACTCCTCTACTCTACAGACTGGAAGAGACTGTGCTACTCTAAAGATTCCAACAGACCACCTAAATCTAACTAAGGATGTCTTCAGAAGAACAGGTCTTAAACTGCATCCCTGAGAACTCAGTAGAGTGTGTGTTTGGGGTGAAGCTTAAATAAGATTACCTCATTACTGTGAAGAGACCCAAGTTTCCAGCTCAGCATCCATCATTATCCAATCCCTAGTTTCTCCCCCAGTTACACAGTTTCACACCACCCCATACCCTTGAAAAAAAACTTTTTTTAAACGGCTGCTTCAGTAGAAAGTTAGACAACATGTCAACTTTAGTTAGTGCAAAAACCACTCTAAAAAACATGAACTCTACTGTTACATACCGCCTTCTAGAGAAAAGCATGCTTAAAGAATTTATTCCAATTTTTCTGGACAGTCTAGAAAAGTTCCTACTCCATAAAGACTAAAAGATCCCTTTCAGAACTAAATTCTTGAGGTTCTAGAAGATAAATATTTATTATAATATAGCATGGTTTTGAAACTGAGGCAACCATTCATTTTTACAACCAACTTCTCCACAAGGGGCTCAATAATTAGGATTTGGTTTTGAAGCTATGGAGCTGGCTTTTAATCAGATCATCAGTAAGTCTCTACCTAAACAAAGGCAAGACTAAATCCAGGATCCTTGTAATAAGGTTGATGAAAAACAGAGCCATCATGTATTTAAAAACCCTATCTCAAGACTGCTATAATAACCCTCAGAAACCAACTTTTTGTCATCGTAAACTGGAAACTCACGATGGTTGCTTTCTTTTCAGAATCTAAGCATCCAACCATTCTGGGTTAGTATTCACATATGACAATTTTTCTAGAAGGGCACAATCTATTTTCTGTATTATAAATTCAAATGCACTTCCACCCTCCAACTTTCACGATAGTATTTTTAAAATAGTAAAGCAATTAAAAAATCCATAAACGTATAATATCGAAGAGTATGTGGGAAAGGGCTATCAGAAGAGATTTCTAAACAATTTTCAGAACAGAGAAAGCAAAGGAAGAACGCCAAGTGCTAAGACTGTTTCTAGAATGTAGACTCCATGAGGGCAGTGAGCTTGTGCCTCGTACACTGTTGTTTGAGCACAGGGCCTAGCACACTAAAGATATTGAAAATATATATATACCCAAGCAAAAACAAAAGAACTGAACTGATTTTCTGGTGAGTGGGCAGCAAGCATGGGAGCTGGTATCCGGGGTGAAGCCTCCATATTCTAACAGTGAGACCTGTGAGTACCCTAGTGCAAAGCAGGTTCTTGTCCACTGGCCCTAAAGCCAAGCCTCCCTGTCCACAAGACCCAGCCCATATACAGAACTTCCACTTAACACATATACTGCTTCACTCTTACAGAGATAACCACACCTACAGCATGAGTGAGAAAGAATAAGCCATGGAATAGAAAACCCACCCTGAAGCAGAGATAATTAGGGAGCAAAAGAAAACTGTAAAAGAACAGGAAACTTTAGAAAAGAGACAATTACAGGAAAAAAACCACACTCTTGCAAATTAAACATATTTTTATCCCTTAAGCCTCCCCTCAAATGAAGCCAAAAAGGATTAAAAGATAAAATTGAGGCATTTCTATAGTGCAAAGAGGAAAAAAAAAGACTTGAAAATATAAGCAAAACTAAACTCATTCAGACTAATAAAAACATTTTAAGATCCCAGAGAAATATTCGTAGGAAAAATTCAGAAGTTCAGGAAGTAAAGAAGATACTAAAACCTCTGTGGGGGAAAGGAGAGTGATTAATCAGACCACCCATAAAGGAAGAATCTGACTGGTGCCAGAATAAGAACATTGCACATTAAAGATAGTGGAGCGGAGCTTTCAAAATTCTAAATGAAAATTATGTGAACCTGAATTCTCAATCAAGTAAGAGGAAAAAATAGGCTTATTTCAGACACATAAGTATTAGAAAGTTTGTCTCCTGTGCACCCCTTCTGAAGAAGTACTTCAGGAGGAAGAAGTGTAGGTAGAAGGAATGAGACTGACTCAAGAGTCTGAGAGTAACAAACACACCCACCTGGGATGGACACAGAGAAATCAGACCAGGTCAGAACAAGAAGCCAAAGGGCTGCAAGAAGAATGTCACCTCAAAGAATAAGATGTATAAGAAACCAATAAACTAAGGAGAAAGCAGCTGAGAAATACTTGTGATATGAACAGGCATCATCCGGTCTCCTCTCAAGAGAATAAAAAAGTACTGGGAGACAGGAAAAAAACTAAACTAAAGAAATCCTGGAAGGAATGAAATAAGTCACAAGTGGCGTCATCTGAGCGGGTGGGAGGACCAGCTCCCTTTGAATGGGTACCCGGCTCCAGTGTGAGCTGGTTACTAGTGGTTAACTTTCAGAGTCAACCTGTGGACAAAGCATGAAAGACTAGACTAGGGTAAAGAAAAGCAGTCTGTTATCAACGGTGAAGGAAGAGCTAACAGAAGTTTGAGGATTCGGGGAGCAAAGTTGGAGAGATTAGCAGGGTATCAACAGCTTCCTCCTGTGACACTGGGAACAAGAAGTCTGAGCAAGGATCATGGAACAAGAAATCCAAGCTGGGAATTATAATTATAATTCAAGCTTAGGGAAGTTTTAGAGGTAAAAATAAAAGAACTGAGAATTGTGATAAACTATCAAAAATGGACAGGAAAAAAGAAAAGGAAGTGAATAATTTGAGTAGTATCCTCAATTCCTCACAGGAGGAAGGCAAGAGATAATCTTGGACTTTGACAAAATAATCAGCAATATAAGAACTTGGCAGTACCTACCAGAAGACCTAAAGTCAGAAAAAAGTTAGTGGCTGCTTTTGGGAGTGGGTCTTGATGGGACACATGAGTCCCTGAATACTTGCTTTAAGATAAATATACATATGTACTATGACAATTTAAAGAACAAAAGATTAAAATGTTAATCTATGGCTATGGCTACTAGAAAAGATAGGCCTCTTGTGTCCCTGTAGTCAGACAGAAAAAGCTTCTAGCCAATTTGCAACTAGAAAAACAAGACATTTATCTACATTTATTTTGATCCAGTCTCCTGACATTACACACGATTCCTAAATTACTTCTTCATTCCATACTCAGTAACCTTAAATCACAATGCTGCTTCCCTTCTGGTTCAACAAATCATTTAAAAACTTGAAAAAAAAAAAGCCCACCACTCTAGATCTCATTTTTCTAGTGAAATTTTGCTGAGATGAGTTAAAATTTAACAAAAGCATTTTCCTCTGCATAAACTTCTCAAGGCAACACCAAATCTTTAATTTAAGCCTTCCTTCTCACGCTACCCCAGAGGGGAAAAAAAATTCCAAAGACAAAATGCTTAATTTTATTTAACAGCATAAGCAATCAACAATATTGCTGGAGAGCTGGAG